GAAGTTTTTTTCACTCACTATCTTCAATTCTGGACCTACAATAGCTGTATCGTAAAGTGATTGTAATACAGCAGACAGCATGATATGACAGGAGGCCTATGAGGGTCTAATGGGGGAGAGGGAGAGGGAGAGGGGCAAGGTAATCGTAAGGTTTTGACACGCGTGTCGTAACGTTGCGTACCGTGGGCCCTATCCCTTTTCTCGAGAAATTGCGCTTTATCACTAACGTAAGCGGGACGTGGCGAGGAAGGAATGACTCCTAGAATCTTGTCAGTTATCCTTTTTCAGCGGATGGAATTCATCAGGGTCAACCGTAACGTTTAGAGAGAATTTCCGGATTGGGCAATTCCCTTCCTCCTCTACTTCGGAGTGCTCCCTAAAACAGTCCACTCCAATGAACAATAGTGCCAAAAGTTTCGTTAAAACTGCCTTCCTTTTAGCATACTAATAAACTGTCAAACGTCGTCGTCTAAAACGGGGGAGGAGAGGCACATACTATACTACATAACCTCCCCTTCAAAAAGCGAGAAAGTGTCGGGTGCAGACCAAACACCACAACTGACGACGGCCTCCAAGTAAATCTGGTTAGAAGTTGTTCATAGTGATAGCTGATTTCTGGTAAATGATAGTTGTAATTAGTGACAATCGATAGAATACAACTGCAACAGGCTAATCATTTCATTGGCAGAAAACATTAACATTTTGTGAAGGCCGTCGTCACTTGTGGTGCATGGTCTGCACCCGACACTTTCTCGCTTTTTGAAAGGGAGGGTAATCGTAAAAATTGTGACTCGAAATTTCTCCAAACACTATGAAGAAAGCCCATCTTCCAAAACTCGTGGTTTCTCCGCTTTTTTTTGCGGAAAATTGGACCCCCCCTTCATCACGACACTCCTCCCCTTCACCAAGTGACCCAGCTCTATAGGAAAATTCCGGACGGATGGCCGACCCTACTTCTAGCGTGAAGGAATAATGGATAGAATATTCCGCGGCGACAACTCCCCTTTCGAGACACGCCTTGCATTTCACTTCTACCATAACCGTAATGGCTCATTCTTGCGGGGTGGGGTCCATAACAACCTAGGTGCGCTAGCTGACACACAAAGATGTCCTATTAGACGAGTTAATTACAATACTAACCGCTCAATCTTGTGGCATGTTCATGGTTGTTCCAATTCGTGATAGCAGGTCGTTTTCGAGGAGACTTTCAATCTGAATTCAAACTTTAAATTGTGCACGTGATAAGCTTCGCCGCTTGCCACGACACACCTCCAACACCTTTTATTCCACCCATGAAATAGTAGATGATTACACCTTGCATCTTGCAGGTGTCGTGAACTAGAGTCAGAGTTGGAAGCGGAAAACCGTCGACACGCCGAAGCCGTGAAAAATCTGAGAAGCAAAGACAGACGTTGCAGAGAACTTCAGTTCCAGGTCAGAATGACGCTTCGGCTGTTTTACGAACCTATTAATGGAGTTGTAGTGAATTTTATTCTTTTCATGTTTTGATTATGGCTGTTTCAGGTGGACGAGGATAAGAAGTCACAAGAGCGCATGTACGATCTCATTGAAAAACTACAACAGAAAATCAAGACCTATAAACGCCAAGTTGAAGATGCGGTTAGTGAACCTCTATTCCTTCCTTTCCTCTTTGTCTTCCCTCTACCTTCTCTTTCGAATGACTGCTCTTGACCTTGTGAGAAAAAACGGATGGAGCTCTTTCTTGTGATTGTTTCATAATATCGTAGCATGTAAGAATGAGTCATCGATGGTAATAATTTCAGGAAGGTTTGGCAGCGCAAAATCTGGCCAAGTATCGCCAACTTCAACATGCTCTTGAAGATGCCGAGGAACGAGCCGATGCAGCTGAAAACGCGCTAGCTAAAATGCGATTGAAGAACCGAAGCGGATCGTATAGGACGTTGTCGCATTCGGTAAGTACTCGAATTATCTAAGGTGTCCGTTCGTTTCATTTTTCCGTTTTCTGAAGGTAGTGCCGCTTGAATGTGAGCTGTATTCCCACTGAGTTTTATCCTCATAGCACAACATAAAACTCGGCTGTTGTACAATGCATATTTCAGTCGAAAAGAAAGAAAATAGCCTTTCAGAAAATCGGGTTTCTCGGAGGTATTAAATACTAGGATCGGCGATCCTTGAGTTTCGAGGGTTTTTCAGTACAG